AAAGTTCAGAGACAGTTCAAAGACCTTTCAGAGACCGTTCAGAGACCGTTCAAAGACCGTTCAGAGACCGTTCAGAGACCGTTCAAAGACCTTTCAGAGACAGTTCAGAGACCGTTCAAATACCGTTCAGAGACCGTTCAGAGACCGTTCAGAGACCTTTCAGAGACCGTTCAAAGACAGTTCAGAGACCGTTCAGAGACCGTTCAAAGACAGTTCAGAGATCCAATACCGTCCCTTTCAGCACCGGTGGTGGGTGTGCCGGCGGTCTGGGGCGGGCCGAGCGGCAGAGGAAGCGAGTTTGCGGGCGCTGCGCGGGTCCGGGGGTTCTGGCGGCGCAGGGCGTTTTCCGTCAGGAGCAGCTTTGCAAAGGGCGTGCGGGGGCGTGTTTTCGGGGCGCCAGGCGTGGGTTTTGGGGGGGTGCAAGGCGTGGCTGGGCGTGCTGTGGGAGGCCGCGGCTCCAGTTGATGTGCGATGCTCGCGGGCCTGGCGGAGCCAGGCGGCCCTGTTTTCTCGCTGCCGCGCGCAGCGTACAGGAGGCGGGCCGGGGCCACTCCAGGTTTAGGGCCGGCGGAGGCTCGCGGCAGGGTCCAGGCGGAAACGGGGGGCGCGGGTGCTTTTTGGTGCTGGAACGTTTTTTTTGGTGCTGGGACCTTTTTTTGGTGCTGGGACCTTTTCTGTGTTGGTGCGTTTTTTTTTTTGCTAGCGGGTTTTTTTGCTGGCGGGGGACCTGTTCTGTTGGTGGAGTTTTGTTGGAAGGGCCTTTGTTCTGTTGGAAGGGCCTTTGTTCTGTTGGAAGGGCCTTTGTTCTGTTGGAAGGGCCTTTGTTCTTTTTGTAGTTGGTGGGGCCATTTTGTTATTGCTGGTGGGTGTGTGCTGGCTCTGAGATGGGGGCTGTCTGCGAAATGGGGCCGAGCATTTCGCGGGCCTGGGGCGCTGGAGGTCTGGTGATTTCGGCGCTCTGGCGGAACGAGGCTCTTGCCGCAGACCGTACTGGTTTGGCGGGGCTTCTGGGTATGGCTTTTTGGGTGTGGCTTTTTTGTATGAGTCTCCTGGGTATGGCTTTTTTTGTATGATTTTCCTGGGTATGGCTTTTTTGGGTTTGGGTTTCCTGGGTATGATTTTCCGGGGTATGATTTCCTGAGTTTTCGTTCTCTCTACTTTTGGGGCCCTGGCAGGCCTGGTCTGCTTGGCCTGGCCTTTGGTGCTGCGCGAAGTATTGGCTCGCGCCTGGCACTGGGGCCGGGACTGGAACACGCCAACCCGCCCCTTGGGTTTTGTTTATGTTTTTGTTTTCTTTTTGTTTTTCTTTTTGTATTCTTTTTGTATTCTTTTGTTTTTCTTTTTGTTTTTCTTTTTGTTTTCCTTTTTGTTTTTCGTGTTTGTTTCTTCTGTTTCTGTTTCTGTTCTTTTCTTCTTTGTTCTTGTTTTTGTTTTGGCTTGTCTTACTTCTGGGCCCGGCTGGGCCCGGCTCTCACTGGGTTGGAGGCCGTGGCCCATGCTTTGGGGCGTCTCCAAATATGCCGGCAAGTTGGATCTTTGTGGTCCCCTGTTGCATTTCTTCCCCTATAACCGTGCCCTGTCTTGCCTTCCATTGATGTGCTGTCTTGCTGGCCTGTGATTTGGCCGTGGCCTTTTTTAGAGGTCCAGTGCAGGCCTGGGCCACGCAATTTGCAACCGTTGCAACCAATATCTCCACCACTTGACTTCAATATGCAAAACGAACAAAGGCGAATAACAAGCGAATCGTGCCAAGCAGAATGATGGATACCGAGGTGTTTTGGGGTTTGGTTCCGCAGATGACACCTTGTTGAGATAGTCTAGTAGTGGAATCCGGGTACAGGAGGAGTCTGGGAGAATCTTGTGTGTCGGCTTGTAAAATTTGATTTGGTGAGTCGTCAGGTTTGTGGTTTTTTTCAGAGTATAGAGTCAAGCCTCCAACTGCTGTGCCTTGCACGTGGCTGGAGCTTGTGCTTTGCGATCATGTACTTCCAGGGTCATGAATTCTTTTGGACGAGCAGTCTTAAAACCCCCTACAACACCGATCCATGACCTCATTAAAATCGTTAACGCGCTCGAAAATGGACTTGAGACCCCTATACGCCCAAACAAGGCGTTCAAGACAGCCAACTTGAACGTGGGCCAGTGGGTGATTTAAATATCTAAGATATTTATAATAATAGTAGGTATTTCAGAGACTATACGTGCACATAAATTATTTTCTATTATATATTTCCAACTATATGATAGAAAGTTATATCTAATTATATTATTAGCTTTTATTAGCTTTATTAATATATCGATATCTATATTTATCAATAGGTTATACGACACTTTGTCAAATAAAAACAAATACTTACTAATACTTATATGTAAGATTACGGTGCCGGTAGTGGATTGGGCTACTTGGCTGTCCAGTACGCCAAGGCCATAGACTACAGAGTCTTGGCCATTGACGGCGGAGACGACAAAAGCGACTTCGCCAAGTCTTTAGGCGCCGAGGCGTTCGTGGACTTCTTCAAGTCGCTGGACGTGGTCAAGGACGTGCAGGAAATCACCAACGGTGGGCCCCACGGTGTGATCAACGGGTCTGTGTCTGAGAAGGCCATGCAGCAATTTGCCGAGTACGTGCGGGCCACGGGTACTGTGATTTTGGTGGGCTTGCCTGCCGGGGCCAAGGTCGTGGCGCCTGTTTTCAAGTCTGTCGTGAAGTCTGTCAATATTAAGGGCTCCTGCGTCGGCAACAGAGCAGACTCGGCCGAGGCCATTGACTTCTTGACCAGGGGTTTGATCAAGTGTCCTGTCAAGATTGTTAGCTTGTCTGAGTTGCCAAGTGTGTACCAGTTGATGGCAAGATCTTGGGTCGTTACGTGGTTGACACGTCGAAGTAGACTGGCCGCAAAATCCTGGTCGGGCTACAGAGCTGGCTACGAGCAAAAAAAAAAGAACAATCCCTAACGGTAGTGTGAATATGTTTCTACTTTCAGTTCTATTGATCTCCGAATCGTCTTACCTGCGAGTAAAGGACTGTAGTGCAATTGTGTTACCGGAATGCTTGGGTGCATGAGTCAATGATTGACTCTTGGAAATGTCAGCTTCTGAACCCTATGAATGCGATTCTCGAGTTCTTGGAGTTTCTGAAACACATGCCCGAAGAGCGACATCAAAGCAGCTCTAGAGAAATGAACTGAGGATGTGATATACTTTTGAGGAGGCAGTCAAATGCATGTCCATAAATCGCAGATAATTCCTACTGTCTCGTCGTTGATGGAAAACATCTTCAAAATTTACTTGCCTGATCCTTCATTAAAGACGTTCAGTGGTCAAATAGCACCAAAAAGAACTAACTTTCTCACCGGGATCATGAAAATGTATTTTGAGCCTGCTAATAGTTGCGGCTGGCTGCTAATGTTTTGATCATATAGACTTTTGAAGTTTGCAACGAAGGTCGATGCTCTGCAAGACAATCATGCTGATCATTCAATGCCTGCTATCGAGTGCTGAGACACAGTAGAAAAGCCTCTATTCCTGGCGGTCCTGAATAGTTCTCGTATGCCTTTTTTGAACCGTCACTTGGCTCTTTTCTGCATGCTAGTAATGGGACGGTGTGTCTCTAGTTATTTCATTCATATACGCCCCTACGTATTTGACAAGGCATTTGGCTGCCTCAAGACCGCCGTGGTTTTTCTCGCCGTATACTCCTGATGTTTCTGATTTCTTCACTTTGAAATCTTGATCAATGAGGATAGCTCAAACTCTGTATCAACATCTGTATTTAACTTAGACCCAGTATCGCTCATGTGTGTTGAATAGCATTTCTCTTTCATTATGAAAGTTTTAGCTGTCCTCGCTTATGTTTAAAGACACGTGAACTCTTGTAAGTTGATGTTCTGGATTTTATAATTGAGCATATCTTTACTGTAGCTAGTGAAGTCCATCTCCTCGCAGTGAAACTGTCAGCGTTACTCCTTACTATTTAGTATGGGTATAGATTAATTCCCATTTGTTCTGGTCTAGATCATGACTACCTGCCATGAGCTTATCTATATATTACATTCAACTGATACTTTTTTTTGTAGATTCATCTGATTAAAGGGGCAAAACTATATAAAAAGTATATAAAAACCTTTCAACAGCTCACAACTACGTACCAAGTGTCGAAACTCGGCCCGTTCCCTTCTGTTGGTCACGGCCTGCACGGTCCTCTTGGCCCGTATCTGTTTCATCGACTCCTAGGAAAAGTCTCCTGTACTTAGAATGTTCTGAGTTTTTTGGGGTTTGGGGATGAGACACACAATCTTGGGAATGATTCGCTTTGATATGTGTTTTTGACTCGGCTCCATACATGGCCTTTGTCTTGGGCTCGTTGATGGTTCTCTAATACTCGGCGAAGGCTTACTAATTAAGGTATGCTTGGTATGTTTGGGAACGGGGTGTTGGCTCTGCTCTTGTTCTTTTCGATCTCTTTTGGGTTATTGTTAATTAAAGTGGCTTCAGAATTTGCCGTGGCAATTTCACTTTTGCAGGTTCCATCATAATTGTGCCACTGTATACGGGGTGATTCCGCAAAATCCAAAATATTTCAAGTTGAGAGATACTTGGGGTCTTGTCGCTTACTTTTTTACTGGTCTTTGGCTCTATTTGGCTTACGGTTTATCTCAATTATGGTTTATATTCTTGTATTTTGGTCTCAATATATGAGGTGCTACCAACTTCTGTTTTAGAGTCTGTTCCTCTTTTACTTCGGCTCACCTTTGCTTAACACCCTTTTGTATTGCTTTCTCTATGGTCTCTCTATACTGTGTTCTCTTTGCCACAATAAGCCGTTCCAAACGCTTCACTCCACCTCGAAGAGCGAGGCGATTGTGGACTTTCTTCTTTCATTGATTTTAGCTCGTTTGTCACTCCTTGTTTTGATTGGTCTATTTTTTCTTTGTGTTCCATTGCATATGGTTTTGGCATTCCTAGGTATCTTATAATCTAACTCCAAGCCATTTCTCCGTGCAATTGGTTCTGCCGGTTCACACTATTTACCTTTCGAAGAGCGTTCTTCCCTTTGATATATATTGTCAAGAGGAAGTTTCCGTCTGAATGCATAGCTCTGAATTGCAATTTCTTATTTATCTATATCTAGGTTGCGTTCTCGTGTTCTGCTTCGGGTACAAAGTCTTGAGTTTTGTTTGCATTGTACCAATCATATTTTTTTCAAAAATGCATGTAGTATATTTCGTGCGCACCCTCTAGAAGTTCACCGCCATGAAAATATCATACTAACTCACCTCAATTTAAATTCCATGCATTCTTAATTCTATAAGCTGTGGTGATGCCGAAATTCTCTGCTTTAGCTTTACTGATCACACAAGTTTCATAAGATTCTCTCGCAAGTTAATGAGGCGGGTTTTTTAGATTATAAATTCAACTAATATTCGTGAATTTACACTCTCAAAGCTAAACAACATTCACACTACTCTCTGTAACAGGTCATGGGTAGCGATGGTATTCACTTCTGAGTATATAACTGACACCCATGCACCAATAAAGTATTAGTGTGTTCTATTATACATTACCAGAACTTAACAAGACATTAAAATTAACACCTCACAAGATGGTTCAGACTATCACTTGCTTCATTGTGTAACCTAACAAATTATTACGCCTTTAAATAAAGCTCCTGATGAATTAGTAGCAGTAATCAAGGCTCACATTTATCAGGGTGCGATCGTTTCTTATCGACCAATCATTTCGGGCTAATGTCATTAAACAACTCAATCTAAAGACCATTTCGAATACAGCTGAAAATTCATCATAATTGAATACATCTTTTTTTTTTGGATACAGATTCATGATCAATTACTCATGGCTGGTGATTTTGTAGTGATCTATAAGTTGATATACTATGACCGTTTGAGATACACGTCTCAAATTCAAGCCCTGTTTGAACATTCTCCTCGAGTTTTCCACTATTTATTGATACTCTCATTTATCCACATTTAACTCCAACAATAGGGGAGATGAGATCTTTCCCAAAAACGCTTACCACCTTCAATTGATGTCGAGGTGGATTCCGGCTAATTTTCATTCTCACAGGCTCACACTAGCTGTTTATTTGTCTATATATTTGAGCTACTATTGGAGGTAGAGCTGTTTATCCTCTTGTGATTAGCAGCGCATGAAACATTCAATAGCTGTGCAAATACATTCTCAGGGACTTCATCAAATATACTACCATATATAGCCTACTTCTCCTTTCGAGCTTTATATGTCTTTGCTGTATTTCATTTCTGGAAATGCTTATATTCTCTAGGAAGTGATCTGATTAGATTCAGACAAAGTGCATCAGAGATATATGCAGACTATATTCTAGGTTCGGGTTGAAACTGGGACAAGGGGGTCACTGAACTCAGTGCCGAGGCACTGCAGTGAAAACGATTACACAAAAATTCAAAAAAAACAAAGGTTGAATTGATCACGGAAGATCATGTCGAGTTTCAAATGCCTCCCAGTACAGTTGCAACAAAACACCTTAATTCCGCGCAAGATGTGTTCTTCCTGACCTGTTTTTTTAACCAAAAACTGTCGTTTTCTGCAGCCTCATAATTTTTTCTGCAAACAAGACTTGTAAATACAAGAAGCTCATGGCCTTCTTACGTGGTTGAAAATACCGTTTCTTTTCCATGTCAGACATAGATTTACTTTTGGTGCTTCAATGATTTCATCCTCACTTTAATAATACTTTAATTTATTGGATTCTACATTTTCAAGGTTAGTAACGCGTTTTTTATTTTACCCTGAATCAACGATTTAGTCAGTTTTCATGACGCAGAGAAGGAATACAACAACCAAAATTAGCCAACACGTTCAAAATCCAATCCGACAAGGGGTCAAAAGTCTTTCATCCATTCCAACCGATTAAGATTGTCACCAACGGAAAAATTCTGCATGGCCCGGATCACTGCCGTGTTCAACCAAATCGGCTTCTCGAAACACGCGACTGCACACAGTGACCATGTCGAATCAAAGGCATGGCCAAACCCCCCAAATCAAGAGATTTGTTCACAGCAGAGAGATCCAAATCGTTGTAGTTTCTCTTTAGAACATCCTACAATTCCAAGCAAAAAAAAAATATGCATTGCGTGTTCCCACCTAATGTTGCACTGGCTGCTGGAGGCAGGCTCGCGCATGAGCGATGATTTCATCTCATCTCACCTTCAAATAGGTTTATCTAAATTATCACCACAGATATGGTACGTCAAAGCCGCCTTTAGAGAAGCAGCAACACATATTTCCAAAGCAGCATGCTAACCAGAAACAGGCCTTGAAGAAAAAAAGCGGGCTCAGAGACAAGGCCTCGAAAAACTCCGCTCTTGCCAGCAAAATCGAGCAGTTCCGCAGAGACCAGGAGCCTTCGCAAGAAGCCCACGATGAGAACCCGTACTTGAAATTGCTGAAAGTCAGCAAAAAGGAGAAGCAGCAGGCGAAAACAAACAGTTTCAATGAGCGGTTGGCGTCCAAGGTCACGTTCAACCTTTCTGGCGGGGTGTCTAAATCGGCACTCAGAAGAAGAAAGCGTAAAGAGAAGGAGCAGTTGAAGCCTAAGATGGACGATTTGCTATCCAGTCTACCCGAGGCTACGGTGAATATAGTTGACTCATCGGTGGCGAAGAAAAAGGCCTTTGTGAAAGGTGTTTCTGTGAAGCCCTCCAACTTGCCCAACCCACAGAAGCACTCGGGCCACACCAAGCTACTAGAGGTGGAAAACCAGCGGTTTTCCCAGGTGCTTCAGGACAAGCAGTTCCAGCAGTCGCCGTTTGCCGCCTTGAGACAAGCCATTTCGCAAAGCAAGCAGTGAGGCAATGGGGAGTTTTCTTACTCCTGGTACGGCATGGGAGCGAGTGCCTTATTCAGAGTTGTGTAACGAGGCCGATTGCTCCCTGTGAAATCTAGAGATTATATAGCTACAAATAGCTCATTGAAAGGAAAGAGAATGGAAACTGTGAAATCGAGAGGAGATTGTTTTGGCAGAGGGATAGAGAGCGAGGCAAGGCGAGAATTCCACACTTGATTCCGGACTGTGCCATACATTCCATGCTGAAATGCGTTCGCGGATTCAGATTTTGAAACATGAGCGATAATGGTGAGCAACCACCGAAAATACCTGTTGGGGAATTCTTACACTGTCTTTATTTTCTCAGGAAGCACAAACATCTACACTGGCAGAACGAGCGCTTTTTCGTTGCTCAGGGATAGCCTTTTGTATAATTCGCCCCTAGTTAGCCCAAAGTGTAATTAGCCAAAGTGTAATTAGCCAAAGTGTAATTAGCCCCTTGTGTGATTGCCCCCTTGTACAAAGTGCAAGTGAGCGAGTCCAGCTAGAAAGACGCATACAGACATTGAGAGGGACCCAGGAAAAGAAACGTACGAAAATCAGGCCGACAGTCAGGCGAAGACCAGTCTCTGCCGACAATCGGCTATGTATTGTGCTGTTGCGCGGCAAACATCGAGAGGCTTGCGCGGGATTGAGGCGAGATTTTAGCGCCGCATGCCGCTCTTTCCCTGTTGAGTAAGAAAATTGCAGGGAGAGATGAAACAAAGTGCCAAGGAAGCAACGCGGAGAGAAGAGGACGGAAGCGGGCACATCGTCGGAACTACAGAGAAATGAGGGAGGGGACGAAAAGCAAAAAAGAGGATACAAAGATAGTATGTCAAAGAGCATGCGAAAAGATAAAGATACGAAAGCATACATAGAGAAGCACGAGGCGACGAGGAGGAAGGAGGAAGCAACGAAGAAATAATCAAGAAGCAATAAAGAAGCAAAGAGGACGTAAAGTAGAAACAAAAAAGAAGCAAAGAGGAAGCAAAGAAGATGTAAAAAGGAAGCAAGGAAAAAGAAAAAAAAAGTAAATAAGAAGTAAAGAAGAAGCAAAGAAGAGCATACCTAATCAAAAGTAGTCACAAGAATTTATACTCCACGGTATTGCCTTATATTCTGGGTTTTTTTCAAAGCATTTTTTTAATATATAAAGTTACACCGTTAGCAACAAAAAAATATTGCTCATGATACTTTTAAAATTGTATTGCCGAGAATGAAACATCTCAATACCCACTTGAAGGATCTCCCATCATATAACGGTATAACATGGTATATCCTTTCTATCCTGACCAATATCTCGGTGTTTCAAAAGCGATCAAAGCTGCATTACTACACGACACTAAATTTTAGAATTTACAACATTTTTTTCCGATCTTTTATGAATATAAACTTCATGAAGAAGAAACAAAAGAGAAG